TCCCCCTGCAGAACTGCCCCTAGGACCCGGACCCCTCTATAGGAAACTACCCCCATCCCCGGCTGGCTCCTCCTTTTTGGTGCTGGATCTATTGGATGGCCCCCCCCCAAAAAGCGATGGGGGACCGCGCGGGGTTCGTTTGCTGGACGTAGGTGCGGAGGGGACCCAGGAGTCGGGGCTCCCTGCCCCACCCTGTGCTGCAGCAGCAGGCGATGTGCCCCCAGGCCCTGGCATGTGCCCCTAGGGACTGTCTGAGTTGGGTGGTGCCTGCAGGCTGGGCAGGGGGCCAGGGGGGTGGGGCAGCCCTGTGGGTGCTGGGCAGGAGGGGGGGCCCTGGCAGGGCAAAGAGGGTGACATCACCCACATGCCCCCATGGCAGCACAACCCTGCTGCAGCCAGCCCTGGTGCCGTTGCACACACACGTCCCTTGCACGCCTCTGGATCTGGTGCACCTGCCTCCCCACATATCTATCTGGAGCCCCTCCCAGGGCAGGGGCAGGGCGGAGCTGCTCTGTTATTTGGGGCACGCGTGTAGCATTGGAGCAAAGCCAGCTGCCCAGACAGAGGGTGGGGGCCTGGGCGCTGCCTGCTCCCAGAGCTACGCCAGCGAGTGCTGTCTGGCATGGCTGTCGCTTCAGCCGCAGCGCAGGGCCTGCCAGTGCCCCCTCCCCCCCCCTGCACTGGGGCTCTGTGCCAGCCAGACCCATGTGGATACCCAAGTGGCCCCATCTGAACCCCCCAGGCTGGCACCTTTGCCATGCAGTCAGCAGAAAGCAAGCCCTGCAGCTGCATACCCCCAGGGCCACCCAAATCTTCCCTCTGTCTCCTCCCCTGCAGCTCTGCCAGGGGTCCTGGCTGGTAACAGGGCACCTGGGGCCCAGCAGCAGCAGCCCCAGCTCAGTGCACTGGGGTGGGTGGGAGAGGCAGCGGATTGAGGCAGGGGGGCACGAGGGCTCCGTGACTGGGTCAGCTGGCCCCCAGGGGCTGGAGCTGCCGAACGAATGGATCCTTTTACCAGGGCAGCCCCTGGCCCTGGGCCCAGTCCCTCTAACCCCTCAGCCCCACCCTGTTCTACTCATGGACTCCCCCCCCGCCCCCCCTCACCTCTCCCTGCAGGGACAGCCCCTCCCTTGCTCTGCCAGCCCCATGGATGGGCATCAGGACTCCTGGGTTCTCTGGCTCTGAGAAGACAGGGAGATCTAGAGGGGCTGGGTGGGAGCCAGGGCACCTGGGTCTGGCCCAGCTCTGCTCTGCAGCCTAGGGACCCTTGCACTTTTCTCCTGAAAACAATAATCCCCAGTTATGTTCTTGTGGGGCAGAATCTCAAAGTCCTCCCACCCCATGGGGCCAGAGGGAAATGGACCCCCCTGCTGAGTGGGGACCCAGGGAACACCCAGCCACCCCTTATCCTCCTAGCTGTGTCCCGGGGCTGCACTTGGGACAAAAGGATCTAATCCAGCAGACATGTACCTGGGTTTACCCCCCAGTCAAACAGCCAGCTCAGTGCCCCCCCACCCCACTCCAGGAGGAGCAGGGCTGGTTCTCCAGCACGGCAGCGCCTGGTGACTCAGTGGTGGTACCAGCACTGCAGATGTACAGGGGGAGGGAGCTAATGGCCTTTAAATTGCCCCTGTGCATTGGAGCTGCCTCCTAATTGATGAGCATTTCCCCAGCAGATTCACTGCACCAGCTCCGGGCAGAGAGCTGTAGGGAAGGGGGTGGGGGCAGCTTACGGGAAGCCAGAGCCAGCTTATGCCTTTGTCCAGGGACCTGGATGGAGCAGAGCTGGGCTGGACCAGGCCCTAATGCATCTGGTGCTGGCCTGGGGAGCCGGGGGAGGGGGGCAGCTGCTGCTGCTCCTGCAGGTCCTTAGTGCAGCTGCACCGAGCCGTAGGAACCGTTGGCTCAGAGGGGCTGGGGCAGTGTGTGTGCAGCTGGGTGGGACTCCCAAAACCCCCAGGGCTAAACTGGAAGTGACTCCAGATTCACACCAGGACTGGCAGAATCTGGCCCATCAGAATCAGGCAGACCCAGCTGGCCCCCAGGCCTGTGCAGGACAGATCCCTGCCCTGCCCAGAAACACATTGAGGTGGAAGTC